CCCCAACCCGAAATTCGGGTCGAATTCGGGTCTTCGGGTTGGGTTGGGGTGGTCTGGTAGGTAGTCAGGAAGGCTGCTCCGGAGGGTTTGGTACGCTGCTTGCCGGGCATGTTCTTCGGGTGGAGGGCAAAGGGTGAAGTCCGAAACGCCGTTTCGGGTGGCGTCCGAGGCCTGAATCTGCAAGAGGTGATTCACAGGACGGACTTGTTCTCGAGGTGCGCAAGCCCATATGGATTTCACCTTGAGCCCCCCACCCAAAGAAAATGCTCAGGCTTGAAACAACTCACCAAAGAACGCAGAAAACAATATAACAACTTGTTTCATGGTTCTGGTGACTTGGGAGACTCTCGGTGGTTTTCGAAAGCGGTCGGGCGGTTTTTACATGCAGGCGTTTTCTTTTGCGGGTTTCGCGGGAAAGGAAGGCGAGATGACAATGACGGAGGAGCATGGGGAGGCGAAGGAGGATGTTGAGGAGGATGAGGCGGGTCTTGGGTTCACCGAGTTCCTAGCAGCTCGCTGGACGTTCATACACAGTTTAAAAGCCAAGCTCCTCCCATTCTGCTGGTGGGAGGAAAAGGACAAGGACGAGAAGGAATATTACCATCGCCATCGCCACCACCGTCGTCACCACCACCATCACCATCCACCACCGCCATCGCCATCATCACCCGCGCCAGCTATCGCCACTGTCATCATGCTCACCTTCAGCACCACCACCATCGCAATTGAGACCGCCACCGCCACCGCCACCGCCACCCACCATTACCATCACCACTATCATCATCGCAGTCATAACCAACCTTCACCAACCAGCCAATGGTAACAATCATCGCCTTTATCATCAATCGCACCACCACTATCACAATGACTATCACCATCACCATTACCAGTCCAATCACAATCACCACCACCGTCGTCATCATTATCAGTACCATCATCCTCCTCTTGCTCATCATCATACTCGACATCATCATCAACGCCATCATCATCATCATAATCATTATCAGCATCATCAGCATCAACATCGTCACACTTACCTTTATCATCATTATTGCCAGCATCACCATCATCTTCGCCCCCCCACCATCATCATCATCATCATCATCATCATCATCATCATCATCATCATCATCATCATCATCATCATCATCATCATCATCATCATCGTCATCGTCATCGTCATCGTCATCGTCATCGTCATCATCATCATCATCATCATCATCAGCGTCGTTGTCGTCGTCATCATCATTGGCAGCGTCATCGTCAACATCATCAGCTTGATCATCGGTTGCCATTTTGGCTTCAGGTGCTCGGGTGCTCCGCAGTGCCGCGCCCCCCGCGCCCCGCCGCGCTGACCAGCACTGCGGCATGGCAGCTTCTGCTGAAGCCGTTCACGGCGACCAGCTTCAAGAACTATCGGGGCTGGACAGAACCTCCACCCTGACACGTTGATTCGTGAAGTGTCTGTTTCCGCTTCTCGAGAGGGCACCGCGGCCGTCACTTTCCAGACTTGCGCCCGCCAGGTTTGTGCCCGAGGTCGTCTTCACTAGACCACGTTTTATTAAAGGGGGTTTGTTTGTCCATCCCTGAAACTATTGCGAAGGCCTTACGGCCTGTGCCGCCGACCCTGAATGGCGACGACGACGACGACGAGCGCTCTTGGGGGCCTCTTGGGGGTAGTTTGTGGGCCTCTTGGGAAGCTCTTAGGGGCCGCTTGGAAGCCTCGTGGGCGCCTCTTGGGGCTTCCTGGGGGTCTCTTGGAGGGGGCCTGGGACGTCTTGGAGGCTTCTTGGACGGTCTAGGGGGTTGGTTTGTCCATCTCTGAAACTATTTTTTCGGCCTCTGCACGTTCACGCTCGTGCTCTGCACGTTCGCGCTCGTGCTGAGTCCACTGGCAGTACGGGCGGCCCCGCGGCCGCCGCTGCGCGCGAGCGGAGCCCAAGGTGGTAGCAGGCAGGCGGCAACACTGCCAACGCGACGCCGCTCCTGGCCAACAGAGACTGCGCCAGGCAACTGCTCAACGATCTCGAGGAGACGCAGGAGGAGTCCCTCTAAGAAGTCGCCTGCGGACTTCATCGCCGCGCAGCGCAAACACGGTGGGAAGCTCCTCAAGAGCTACGGCGTCAAACTCCAAGCGCAGATTCGTGAGCTTACCCTGCGCCAAAAGGATACGGGCAAGCAGCTCAGCGCTTCCAAGTGCGACTCGGAGCAAAAGTGCAGCTCCCTGGAGATGAAGCTCGCTGGTGTCAAGCGCCGCCTCGACCTCGCGGAAAAGCGGGGGTGGCCCACGGTTGACGAGCTCGCAGAGATCGGCGACGACGACGCGCCCGACCCCTCGACCCTCAAGGTTCGCAGCTCCGCCTTCGCCGCCGATAGTGCGATTTGGAACTCCTTCACCGAGCCTCTCATGTCCGCCAGCACCAACGAGGACCAGGCCTCCATCCGCTGCCCGCCTGCAGGGCGCTCCTCCGGGGCCCGCCTCCTGGGCTGCAGCGCTGCCATCAGCGCCGCCCGCGCTCTCTCTGCCCCGGGGAGGGGACGGTGAGCGGATTGAGCTGCAGTGCCAGGGCGCCAGCGGCACCGAGGTCGCAAACCTCTTCGTCAGCATGGGCCGAAATCGCGAGAGAGCCTCCTGGGCCAGCCGCGCACAGCCGTCGTCGCCCTGCACCTCGCAAGGGGGACTTCGCACCGCCCGCTCCGAAGGTG